CCTCACAGGCAGCAGACTTTGGGGATTCTGCCGCAGCGCCCTCTTGTTTTCTCCACGGATGCACAATGCCCTGTGGGAACTTTTGGTGAGGACTCTGAGGTGTCTTTTGGCGACGATGCTGTTGATTTTGGGTCTTTATAATCCCTAGAGGTTATTTTGATAGTTACCTTTTGCCTCTTTGGGGGTGGCACTTTAGGTGGTCGCGATTCAAGAGTTACTGGGTCGGCTTCAATGGGCTCAGCACTAGCCGCTGCAATGAAATTCCTACCAGTCTCTTGAAATCTTTGTGATGCCAGTGCAGGGTCTTCTGTGCCTTCCTCCTCGGTGTCAGGATCACGTGTGGTCAAATTTACAATGTCCGAAGACTGCAAGTTTGGGGTGACCAACACGACCCGACGAGAGCTCAAGGATGGATTCTGCCAGGCGGCGTCCTCCAATTCGTAAGGATCAATGCCCTCAACTTCTTGAGTCTCAGTTCCAGGAACTACCACAGGATGAGCAACTGGACGCTCTGCAACTGTCGCGACCGAAGGTCCAGCGACCCGCACCCAAGTTCCTGCTGAATCTAGGCGTGTGTCAGGATAACCAGCAGCACGGAGTTCTCGAGCAAGCTCAATCTGCTCCCTGGCTTCTCTAGACAAAAGATTAACAGGCAAAGGTGGGATGGACCTATTTCTTTTGGTGTGCCTCTCCCTTGGAGACGCAGTTTTGGCAACAGGTGCTGGCTCCTCCTCACTTTCAACCTCAAAACTTTCCTCCTCTTCCTGCTGATTCCCCCCCACTGTCTCGCGCGCCTTGGCAAAAGCCGGAGCTCGGGCAGCGAGCTCTTCCGGTGTTGGCGGCGGATGCTGTGGCGGTGGTGGAATATTAGAAGGGACTACAGGTGGTGGTGATGATGGGGGTGATGGGAGCTTAGCCTTAGTCAAAGGGTTTACAACAGCTGGACTACTGGGAATCTTAGGGACTACTTCAATTATTTGGGTAGTATCTAAAACCTTTTGCGCAGTGGCTGATGTGTCGTGTTCTTTGGAAACAACGACTCCTTTGGGATTATTAGATTCTGGCAAGGGATTTACAACAGGATCAGCTTTTGGAGCTTCAGGCACGGCTGCACTTGATGGAGCACTACCGGATGCTTTGGCTGCAATCACTGTTGTGCCGCGTTCTTTGGGAACAGCGACCCCTTGCTGATGTTTTGGCGGCTGCAAAGGCTTCGCAACAGGTTCAACCTTAGGAACTTTCGGAGTGGCTACACTTATTGGAGCACTACTGGAACCCTCGGATGCAACGGCTGTTGCGTCGCGTTCCTTGGGAACGGCGACCCCTTGCGGCTGCTTTGGTGGTGGTGGCGAGGGCCTTGACACAACAGGTTTATCTTTGGGGACTTTTGGGACTGCTACAGTTGTTGGAGCACTACCGGAACCCTCAGATGAAACTACTGCTGCGTCGCGCTCTTTGGGAGCAACGACCCCTCGCGATTGCTTTGGCAACGGGCGGACGGATGATGAAGTGCGGACACTGCTAAACTCGGCTTGCTGTACAACTTGATCCGCAGCACGCAAAGTTGGTTGCCAGCCAGAGGCTGGTGCCTTCGGCTGCTGTGCCTTTGGCGATGCAGCTTTTGGCGGCTCTTTGGGCTCTGGCGGTCGTGTAGCTGCCGCGCCACCAGCCGAAGCCGGGGCAGCGGCCCGAGCTTTGGGCTTCGCAGGGGCGTTTGGGCCTACGTACCTATTATAGTAATCCCAGCTTTCTTGAGGAGGGAATTCACTACCCAGAATGTTCAAGTTAATGATACGCTTTGGGGGTAGTACGCCCTTTTCAACTGCGTTACGGCCGTGTCCAATACCACGTCTCCTGTCCAGGCCGTTTGCAAGGGCCCAATTTTCGTATTCAGGCCACAAGTTAAATGTAAGGACTAAACACTGGGTTACGGTCAGATAATCTGCTATGGCTTGATGATTAGCGACTTGCCACTTTTGGTCAGTGTCAACACCGTCTAAAAGATATCGGCCTAGCCAGAAACCACGACCTGACCTCCCACCTGTATTTTGATACAACCAATCCCTAAAAGTATCTAGGTCACTAAACCAAGCCCGGATGGCTTCCTGGTTTCGTGTGGTCTGCCCACCGCGTGAACTCCTCTGTCGAGTGCGTTGTCTTGGACCTGCAGATGGAGCGGAGGGAGAGTGACCAGTACGGATGGGCTCAACACCAGGCTCAACTAAGTTGGGACTAGTGGGTGGTGCAACAAAAACAGATGTGTCTAGTTGTGTATTGGATGTCGCGACAACGGAAGTGTCAGCGACCCCAGGTTCAGTGGATTCAGCTTTTGGATTAGAAACTTCAGGGGCTCCTAAGGGGGCTGAGTCTACACTTACACCTGGGTTACCTGTCGTGACAACGGTTGTGTCAACGACCTCAGGCTTAGCGGATGCACAGGCTGGTTCGGATGCTTCTTGGGATCCTACTGCAACTGGCTCTACACTATGGCCTGAGCTTTGGGTCTCAGGTTGGACGGATGCTGCAATGTCAGAAGCGTCAGCTTCAGGACTCTTGGGGTCAACTTCAGCTTTGACAACGGCTGCAACAATTGCGTCTTCACCTAAGTTGGTTGTTGTAGTACCTTCAGTTTGATGGGCAGCTTCAATGACGGCTTCAGTAGAGGCTGGACCAAGTGTCTGTTGATCTTCTTCCTTTTTGACAAGCTCCAGACTGTTATTGGCGCCTTCCAATCCAGAAACTTCGGAAAAAGTGATTTCAGCAGAAACCTTGTCCGTCGCGGTATTGTCACCAGCGACCTCTACCGAAAAATTGTCGGCTGCTTCAATTTGCGCTTGTTCTGACAGGATCGACGGAAATGCAAAACTGTTCTGACCTTCTTCCTCCACTGGACCTGAGTCTGTAAAGGCAGCCTCTGCAAGAACTTCTTCGGGGATGTTCAATGCTGTGGCAGGGTCTGAAACTTGGTTCGCAAAATCCGTCGCGACGTTTTCGTCGGCGACCCCGTCAGGCAAGAAAAATGTTGAAGGCACAGCACCCGAGCTTGATGTCTCCTGATGTAGCTCTTCCTTCACGTCTGTCAGATGTCCTTGGGCTCGATCTGCAGAAGTGGGCGCCTCACCAAAAGACAGCACGGGCGACAGAATATCCTCCCAGTTTCGGGAGGCCGCGGCGCCCGGTTCAGCAGTTGGTGGATTAAACTTCTCAACACCTTCTGCTTCCCCTAGAGCGTTGGCTCCTTCCACTGGAGTTTCCGGTGTCGCGCTGTAATCAGCAGCGACCCTTTCGGAGCTATCTGAGGGCATGCACGGTCAATGACGGAAGTGCGGGAAAAATAAAGGGGCCTAAACCAGAAGTTATCGAAGGATTAGACTTCCCCAAAAAGCACCTACGGCTGATAACCTGTAGTTACGCACGTTCACCACCTTTTGGCATGAACATTGTGCCCACCCATACCACTGAGCACGGTTATAAAGAACCGCCTCTAGTGGAATGACGCGCTGGCCTTAAGGGCTACCAGCTGATACACAACATGCACCGGGTAGAGGAAGACACATGGAATCACCGATTCACTGAAGAGATCCTACACCCCCCTCTTCCGAAACCTGGAGCGCAACAGCATGGCCCGAGGGTGTGAGCCACCTGACCCTCGTGTTAGGCGCCATGCAGCAGCTGGCCCCCCTGCTTTTGCAAGGAATGCCCTAGGTGGCGCGGCCTCCTCCGTTTACCCCTTTTTTTTGGAGCAGGGCAGGCTGCCACGTTTGTATTGCACCTTTTGGATGCTTTTTAACCACCTACCAGCATGGTCTCAGAGCCATGCGGCTGATAACCTGTGAAAACAGGGGACCGAACAAGGGAACCAACCACGGTATCCTTCGATAACCCCATTAAACAAACCAAGCACCCGACCTTTTTGGGCACTTGAGCCATAACATCCATAGCGTACTAAGTAAACCCTGACCCAGCTGGTTGTTAGGGTGAGGGAAGTACCTATGTCTAATTACGGCTACTCTACTTACCTAACGCTTCTAGGTAAGTAGTGTTATACTGTACATTGAGTATAATGAATTGGATTGAATTGGAACTCATAGCTACGCTATTTACACTACGCTATACCTACCTGCTATGCTACATGTAGTGGGGGCTCAGGGGTCGATATATTTCAACTCAGAAGAGCCAAACTTCCCTATAGATTCCGCGGGTGGTGGTTTTCGGAATTGCTTACCCTATTTTTGGATTTGCTACATGGCCATGATCTTGACCTGAGTTGAATGGGTACGAGTATGGTTCAAACTTGGTTTATTCACCCACACAGTCTGGTTGGTGGTTGACCTACCCCTCTGAAAAATGATGGAGTTCGTCAGTTGGGATGATGACATTCCCAATATATGGGAAAATAAAATTCATGTTCCGAAGCACCAACCAGCAGTTTGTTTACCTTAGTGCCTTAGTACTTTATCTTTCCGAACTGGGAGTCAATACTCTTGACCCATGCCCCAATTTCACAGTACAACAGAATACATCCAAAGAAGCGATCAAAGACCCCTCTGGTAACCAAACACGGCAGAACATCCCCCTGTAGACGAAGGTTTCAATGGGATTCGGAATTTATAATTATAATATATATATAATATATATATATATATAATGGGCCATGGGTGATTTTCCATTGCCACGCTTCATTACCGGAGGGTGAGGGGAAGGAAGGATTTAATTTTGTGTCTTAGATCCCTTTTTTGTTCAAAATCCACGTTTTTCTTGGTCAAAGAATGTTCAACCGACTGTTTTTTCTTCTGAACAAAGTGTCTCATTTTCAACAATACATTGCGTTAAATCAATCAATCCACATATATACAGTATTTCTTTGATGGTCAAATCTTCAATTCCACCATCCAGAAGGATGTTTAATCTTGTTCAATCCATGGTATTTTGTGGCATACCACAACGGTATGCCACCACGCTCCCTGAAATCAGCAGCTCCCCTCCACAGCTCCAGGGACAACAAACGCAGCACCATCTGCCATTGCAGGGACTTTTCACAGGCGCTCATCGCAGCGTTGTAGCCTTGGAGATCACCACCAAGGACATGGCTACGGCTGGGTGCGGATTGGGAAGTTCATTTCATGGAAATCCCCTAAATTACCATGAAAAAACGGGATTTCCCTGGTAATAATATAGCTATATCATAGTAAAATAGTGGTAAAACATTTCATTTCATGGAAATAACTATCAGTCAACGGAATTGAACCCTGGTCTACTATTTGGGGGGAGGTACGGTACCGTTTATAATTTTGGGAAAGTCACTATTTTGGGAACCCACCATATATTCCAAAAAACTGGGGTTGTTAACATCAATACACCAAGCATTCATAAACATCCATAAACATGATTGATAATCCAAACAAAATGGGCAACAACATTTCATACACCCAGATTTTTACAGATATAAACAAATTAAATACCACACATTTCATGCCAGATTCTGTTTATAATCTTACCACAGAGCCGGTGAAAACCAGCGTCAAGGAACTGATCACCGTGGGAAGGACCTGCTGCTGACTCATCCGCTCCAACCAACGCAGCGCCTCAGCTGCGGAATTTACGTACGTATGGATGATGGGATGAATATCTACCAGATATTATGAAACCCATAGGAAAACCATAGGAAAATGGTGATTTAATGGGTTTTAATGGGATTTAATGGTGATTTAATGGAGATACCCTCTGGTAAACATAGAAACAACTATTGAAAATGGCCATTGAAATAGTGAAACTACCCAGCTATAACATGGTGATGTTCCATAGTTACGTTGGTTTACCACAGGGTAATCAATGTATTCTCATCTGACACTATGTACGACATAGTTGTGGTTTTTATATGCACATCTGGTTTGCGGCAATGTTGGGAATATATCTTATGATCTCAGAAACAACTCTCTTGGTTATGAAACAAATTCAAGTTGTCATGTCTGAAACACAACGATCAAATTCTTTGAGACCATCGGTTGTTTTTTCAATATTATATCGCAAAAAAAACGTTGACGCGATTCTCAAAATATTGGCGAACCCGCACCCAACATCAGTGCAATCGCCAATTAAATCTTGCCTCCAAACTGGTAATTTTTTGGTGAGCGGATCAAAACCCTGCTACCATAGTATTGTACTATAGTACTTCAAAATAACAGGTGTTTTGTTGGATTTTCATATCACCAGCAGAATGCGAATCTATGGCATTAAATCAGTATAGGTAGGTTTTGAACCAGAACTATCTCATATCACCCGTGAACTGTCGGTGCCACATCCGGCACGGCCCAAGCTGCCATGTCTCACTCACCGCCGGGTACTTTGCAGCGAATTTGTTCCCTTTTTGGGAGGATAAGTCCCCATCATTCTCTGTAATGATCAGTTTAACCACAAATTCAGTTGGGTTTTGTCTCAGCCGTTTATTGCGGCATGGTCAAAACATAGAAAATAAATCCGCAAGAACATCGATGATCATGCCGCGAAAGCTGGGCAGCCAACACGTATTCCATAGACTCCCCTACTATCACCTTGACTTGACGTGTGGGTCATGCCAACCCAACTGCCAGCGATAAATCTTTGCCATGCTACCATCCACCATTGGTCTCCCACCCGCGCACAAGCGCTGATGACAGCGTTGTAGCCTTGTGTGTGCTCGGCTATGTTTTCGGCCAAACTTGGGAAACCCCAAATGGTGATGCAACTTGAGATCCCCAAACAAAGGTAAAACCAGCAGCACCACATCATCTCCTCCTTTGCCATTTCATCCTATATCATCCTATTTCATCTACTTGTTAATAATTGAAATTCCATGCCACCAATAGATATTCAATTTGATTCTTTTTCCCGAGAGCGTCTAACAGTGGGTCTGTCAACCGTTTTCACATCTTCACATCTGCTCATCTTCACATCTGCTCATCTTCACATCTGCTCATCTTCACATCTGCTCATCTTCACATCTGCTCATCCTCACACCTTCTCATCCTCACATCTTCTCATCTTCACAGCTTCTCATCTTCACAGCTTCTCATCTTCACAGCTTCTCATCTTCACAGCTTCTCATCTTCACAGCTTCTCATCTTCACATCTTCTCATCCTCACATCCTCACATCTTCACATCCTCGCATCTTCACACCTTCTCATCTTCACATCTTCTCATCTTCACATCTTCACACCCTCACATCCTCACATCTTCACATCTTCTCGTCTTAACATCCTCTCGTCTTCACATCTTCTCATCTTCAAATCCTCACATCTTCACATTCTCTCTTGCCCTCTTGCTCTTTTGCCCTCTTGCTCTCTTGCCCTCTTGCTCTCTCATTCTTTTCTATTTCTCTTTTGAAGGCGCTGGGCAGTGCCAACGAGACGGCACGAAACGCAAGCCTTTCGCACGAAACCAAGTTTGATCGCCAAAAACTGCGGTAAATTGGCGATTTTGAAATGTCCGCGGCAACCCTTTCGCACGAAATGAGGTTCGATCACCAAAAACTGAGGTAAAATTGCGATTTTGAAATGTCCGCGACAACCCTTTCGCACGAAATGAGGTTCGATCGCCAAAAACTGAGGTAAAATTGCAAATTTACAACCTCCGCGGTAACCCTGTGTGTAAAAGTGTCTGTGTGTAAAAGTGTCTGTGTGTAAAAGTTTCTGTGTGTAAATGTGTCTGTGTAAAAGCATCTGTGTGTCACCGTGTCTGTGTGTAAAAACTTCTGTGTGTAAAAGCTTCTGTGTGTAAAAGCGTCTGTGTGTAAAAGTGTCTGTGTGTAAAAGCTTCTGTGTGTAAAAGCTTCTCTGTGTAAAAGTGTCTGTGTGCAAAAGCTTCTGTGTGTCGTGTGTGAAAGCTTCTATGTGTAAAAGCGTCTGTATGTAAAAGTGTTTGCGTGTAAAAGTGTCTGCTTGTAGAAGCGTCTGTGTGTAAAGGCGTCTGTGTGTAAAAGCCTATGTGTGGAAAAGTGTCTGTGCGTAAAAGCTTCCGTGTGTAAAAGTGTCTGTGTGTAAAAGCTTCTGTGTGTAAAAGCTTCTGTGTGTAAAAGCGTCTGTGTGTAAAAACGTCTGTGTGTAAAAGCTTCTGTGTGTAAAAGCTTCTGTGTGTAAAAGCTTCTGTGTGGAAAAGCTTTTGTGTGTAAAAGCTTCTGTGTGTAAAAGTTTCTGTGTGCAAAAGCTTCTGTGTGTAAAAGGTTCTGTGTGTGAAAAACTATTCGAAGGATACGGTGCAAACTATTGTCTTGTACTTGTAATATATTGTCTTGATGCTACTCTTCTCGTCAGCCTATAATACATCTTTAATATCTTGTCTTGTAATATAGTGTCTCAATACTAACAACAGAAGACCCTGCTCCTCTACGATATCGGGCTATCCGTCGTCTAGTTCTTTTTTCCAGGTGAAAGCCACCCCTCGTCTGGCTGCCCAGCTTGCTCCTCACAGCTCCTCTTCTGGTTGGTCATGGTCTTGCAAGTCCCTCAAGGGGACCACGTCAATCTGTGCTGCGCTGGTAGCTCGCAAAGGTCTGCTGGGCTTCCTCCTTTCCAGATTGCTTTTGGCCATCAGGTTGTGTCCAAGTTCCACCCATATTTGTTGGCAGCATCTGTGTAGACCTGGGAAAATCCTTCGTAGGATTCCTTGGGAAGCCAGGGCCTGCTGCAGTATGGCCCATGGAAACTTGGTGCCTAGCGGGCACCCAATGGACATTGTGGTGAAGCAGCAGGAAAACTTCTTCGCCAGGCCCCTTTTCATCAAAGTCTTCCAGCCTCACGCGCTCATGCAAGGCCCTGCTGTGCAAGTACTGCTTGCAAGACCTTCCCTCCCCCCAGCCAATGACACCGCCCCACAAGTCCTTCTCACATTTCAACCACATTTCAAGAAACTCTTCCAACAAACTTTCTCTATCATCCTCCTCAGCATTCAGCGACTCCAAAAGTTTGTCTACCATGGTATCATCATCAAATTTGAAAGCAGTTTGCAAGGTCTCATCTTCTTTGATTTCTTGGAGGCGCTCCGGAATCAGCTGCTTTTGCAGCCATTCGGAGTAGACATGCCTCATCTGCCGCACTTGAAAAGTGATCTTGTCTTCCTCATTAGGAAGGAAGCATTGTGTTGTGAGGACCCTTTGTTGCCAGGCATCTTTGGCCCACATGTACAGAGCCCTGGCAGCCAAAAGGTAATTTTTCAACTTTTTACCCTAGCCCAGAAACAGCAGCCAGGGCATTGTGGGTCTGGGCTGATGTGGACTGGACAGCCAGGGTTTTGCTGAAGGAGGAGCCAGAACAGGCAGAAGACCCCCTCAACAAGCAGCTCCAGATGCAGACATGGCAATCCCATTGAGTGAAGTTGAGGAGGAGATAATCAGAGTGCTTCGCTGGACCTCCAGAAAAAGCAGGGGAAAAAACGAATACTTTCAATTCACATACAAAAAACCTTGTGGACCAGGGGGGAAGCTGAACCAATCCGTGGTAGTAAGTGGGGGTAGATGGTAGTGATAGCATTAGGTAACAGCAGGTAAGAGTGGGTAACAGTGTGGAGCAGTAGCAATAGTAGTGGTAGCAGTTGATGTAGCAGTAGTAGTACAAGTAGTAGTAATGGTAGTAGCAGCAATGGCAGTAGTGGTGGTAATGGCAATAATGGTAGTAGTGGTAGTAGTAGCAGGCATAATTTCAGTAGTGGTGGTGGTGGTAGTGGTACTAGTGGTACTAGTGGTAGCACAGGTGCCAGTTGTAAGGGTGGGAGTGGTGGTGATGGCAAGGGAAGGAGCCAGAACAAGAAAAGCTTCCAGGGATAGGAATTAAGGGCTGACAAGCTTTTCACCCTCGTCTGTTGCCAGGGGGGGGTGGAACCCCTAAAAACAAAAAAAATGCAGGGGCCTAAGGACAAAATGCCAATAAAATGAGAGGGCATAAGGTAAGACAGGAAAACCCAAGCAAAATACAATGGACAGGTACAAAAAGAAACTTACGTCAGGCACCCTCCACCTGGCCACTGTTGGACCTACGTTATGCAACTGTTGGACCTCGGGCTCCGGCATTTTCTTTTGGGTTGATCTTGTTTTGTCTTGTTTCCTTCTTTGATTGGTTTTAACCATCTTTGAAGGAAAACCCGAAAACCCCCAAAATGGCAAGACCCAACTGATCTGTACAGAATAGATTGTTTCCCCAACTGCCAGGACTAACGAATTATTTGTTGATCCTGCCAGGCCTGTCATCTAAACCAACCAAAATGGTTAACCACCTGAAGCCCATTCAAATGGCACACATAGGAAAAGATAATCTGGAAAATTGAAAGAATATATCCTACAAAAAAATGGGGGTGCCCAAGGGTAAGAATAGCAATCATGCGGCAGCCATCACAAAAACGCGCAGCTGTGCTTTTCTAGTTCTGGCTCCTGTCTTTCCTCTCTGGGCTGCTCCTAGGCACAAGCAAGGCAAGGAACGGCAAAAGCCTCTCACTTCCAGGGATAGGGGTTAAAGGCTCACAAGCTTTTCTAGTCCTGGCCCTTTTCCTTGCCTTGCCTTGCCTTTGCCCAGGAGCAGCACAGAAAGGAAAGGAAAGGAGCCAGGGCAGGCGAAAGCTCATCACTTCCAGGGATAGGAGTTAAAGGCTGGCAAGCTTTTCTAGTCCTGGCTCCTTTCCTTTCTTATCTGGGTTGCTCCTGGGCACAAGCAGGGGAACGCCAGGCAAGGAGAGGGGCCAGGACTATAAAAGCTTGTCACTCCCTGACAAGCTTTTTTAGTCCTGGCTCCTTTCCTTTCGTCTCTAGGCTGCCCTTGGGCACAAGCAGGGCAAGGCAAGGCAAAAGAGTGTGAACACCATGGATAGGGGTTAAGGGCTGACAAGCTTTTCTAGTCCTGGCCACTTTCCTTTCCTCTCTGGGCTGCTCCTGGGCACAAGCAAGGCAAAACATGGGGCCAGGAATACAAAGGCTTGCCAGCCTTTAACCCCCACCCCTGGAAGTGACAAGCTTTTCTCGTCCTGGCTCCTTTCCTTTTCTCTCTGGGCTGCTCCTGGGCACAAGCAAGGCAAGGCAAGGAGCCAGGACTAGAAAAGCTCGTCAGCCCTTAACCCCTATCCCTGGAAGTGACAAGCTTTTCTAATCCTTGCCCCTTTCCTTTCCTCTCTGGGCTGCTCTTGGGCACAAGCAAGGCAAGGCAAGGAAAGGAGCCAGGGCTAGAAAAGCTTGTAAGCCCTTAACCAATATCCCTGGGAGTGGCAAGCTTGTCTAGTCCTGGCTCCTTTCCTCTCTGGGCTGCTCTTGGGCACAAGCAGGGCAAGGCAAACAATCAAAGGAGCCAGGATTAGAAAAGCTTGCCAGCAATTAACCCCTATCCCTGGAAGTGACAAGCTTTGCTAGTCCTGGCTTCTTTCCTTTCCTCTCTGGGCTGCTCCTGGGCACAAGCAAGGAGAAGCTTGGAGCACACGGCGTGGCAGAAGACAGCAAGGTGCAGGAGACGACAGCGATCATCAAGGATACTTTGAAGTTCTGCTTCATACCTGGCAGAATTTGACATTACAGCTTGTATTTCCATGGTTGCTAGTCTCTGTTCCTTCTTTTCCGTTTTTTTTTGTTTTTCTGTCTTGTTGTTCTTTTCAAGCTGTTCTGTTATTTGTTTCTGCTTTGTCTTTTACGTTTTCCTTTGGATCCTTTGTCTGATTTTACATAGCAAACAATCAGCAAAGGCAGCACAGTCACACCTTCTTATGGTAAAGCCAGCAGGTCTTGCTGTGGTTGTTACCTGTTAAGCATTGCTAACCCTAGTTCCCCCGCCTGTTTTTTGGTTGTCTGGTATTCATCCGTATGTATGTATAGAACTCATCTAAGCTAGTCCAATTATTATGTACAAAGTGGTGCCCCTCCAGTTCCAGAAGTTTGTTTATAACCCACATTAATAGATCTACCATATATATCATATATATATATATATATCCATATATATCCATATACGCCAACTTAGCCAACTATGGGGCAGCAGTGCAAATTCCCCATCTATTGCGATTAACATGTGAAACCACCTCCATACGCTTAGCAGCTGATGGCGGTAGGCTGCGGCACCAGACTGAAAAGGTGCATGGCCAGTTGCCACTGCAGCCCTTTCTCACAGGAACCTTGGCGAAGTTCCAGAGGCTGGCACAACATCTTTTGATCTATTAACAGATGGGATGAAACAGTTGTTGTTGTTGTTGTTGTTGTTGTTGTTGTTGTTGTTGTTGTTGTTTTAGAAGATATTGATATATGGGTGCAATATTATGTGTTTTTTTCATGTTCGAAACGGATTCGGAGTGCATTTTTTTTTCGGATGGTGTGAAGGTGTCCACCCAAAGACAGACCATCATCACTTGGTCACCTGGTCACTGGTTTTGCCAAGTCAGAGATCTTTGGAACACATTGACTGCTTGACAAAGCCGTAGGCTTCTGGAGTGAACTTCGGGGTCTCGCCAAGATTTCGAAACCGCCCCAACCCACAAATCATCTGAGACTTGTGAGTAGTAGCCATAGGCCATAGTTCATGGTAGCACATTTCTCTGCAATCCATGGTTCCTCACAGTTTATCGAACAACATCACTAACATCACCGATTGTTTTGGCAAGACAAGGCGACTAAGAAACATTTGACCACCAATGGTTGCTATTTCAAACCCTCAAAGGCAAACCACTAAGACTGTTCACGCTAACACCTTGTGTACCTCGTTCAAACATGTTTCTGTTTAAGGGAGAAACACACATATTTCTCTCAGACGGCTCAACATCAACCCAGGTCCACCAATCTATCAGTTGCTTTACATCAACCGAAGATCATACAAAATCCTCGAAATGTTTTCCTGCTCCAGCAGCCATCAGCCCAGTGCGGCCCAAACAACTCATCAACGCATTGTAGGTGATGACATCCGCTTCCACATTGCTTTCGCGCATCATTCCTAAGGGCGCCGATATTCGCCATGAGAGTTGATCGCCATGAGAGTTGAATGATGGTAATGGTCTGATAAGCGTAGCAAACATGACAAAAAACACTATATAATCATATCTAATCATTAATATTCATGTCCTTTATCATGGTAATTATGTCTGGTTGGTGGTTTTAACCATCTTGAAAAATATTAGTCAATGGGAAGGATTATACATATAATTTGGAAAATAAAAAATGATTGACACCACCAACCAGATATATATCCTTTATCATCAATCTTAATTTCCTTTTGCGTGTGATGACAGAAATTGATCTAGCCTTTTCATGGATTAGCAGAAGCATGATCTCATTTGCAAAGGATGCAACTATTCATTGGCGATCATTCGGAATAAGCCGAAACCATGGGAAACATTGAAAAATCCATGTTGGTCAAAATCAATATATTGGATATATAATGTTTAGACAAGCTTGCTTTGATGTAAAATCCCAATATTGGATAAAACTTATATTCTTATACAGTTATGGACCTTTGCCAGTTATAAGTACTTATAACCCCATTTATGGATATTTATGGAATGTATAATCCCATCGCCCGGCACCCCTGCAGCGAGGCTCCAAAAATGGCCAGCGCCGCCGGCCACTCGGAGGCCTTTTCACAGCTGCTGATGGCGGCGTTGAAGATCACCACGTTGGGTGACAGCCCTCGGAGCGCGGCCTGCCGCAAAAAAAAAACGCAGAGATTGGGGGAAATAAAACGTGATCTATATGTAGTCTTATATATATATATATCTATAAAAATTACCAGAAAGTGGTACTGTATATTTAAAAAAATATTATATTATATATATGATAATATGTCTATGGATATTTGTTTGATGGATATCTTTTATGATGGATGGGGATGTATGGTGATATTTCAACAAACTTAACAGGCACACAAAGTCCCTAGACTTTGAAAAACGCCTTCTGCCGAAATAATCAATTCCTTTCGGAAGGCCGATAGTGGTATGTATTGATCTATATTCAGTATGGGAACCTACATGACTATATGAATGCATACGGGCTGGGGAAATTCGGCTTCGCACCTCAGGCTGACCATATGAATTCACTCATGCTGGATCTGGGAGGACTTAAGTGACAGCTCCCACAGCAGCACATGGGGATGTTGCTGGAAGTGAGGTTTTTATAATAGGTATAACTGGCGAAGAATTCAACCACTAGAAAAAAACATAACAACCCCCTATGGAAAATATAGCTATGGAGATAATGTTTCTTGGCAAATCATCGCTATGTGAAAAATGACCAGTGGTAGATGTTAGACTCAACAGAGCTGACTTTGGATGTTAGGTTTTTGGCCATAAAATTTGTCCAAGGTCAAAAAAGTTTGGGGATATGTCCACCTAAGATGCAAAGCTTCGAAATTCTACAGCTTTTTGATGGTTTTTGGCCATCATTTGGTGAAGAAAAACCATAGAGATCTAGAGAAAATGCTTGTTTTTCATCCCGTCACGACCGTTCTTGTGCTACGGATTCACTGCAGAGCTTGAATTCCTCACCCCATCGTGTTGATTTATATCCCTACCTGTTACCTATGTTTGGTTTCTATGTAATCTTAGAAACCACACATATATGATATTATGAACATCTATAAACCATTGGCCATTGGCTTCCAGTATCATGTTTGATTATGTTTGGTTTACACCTCCATATGCTTGAATCCCAGCTACTGGTCACCGATGCGGACCATTGCATTTCGAGAATCAGAATTTAAGGTCTTGACCATTTGACCACAAGGAATCATCCCATTAACAGCAAATGAATGTGGTAACATTCTTGGGGAACGAAGTCCTCTTATCAGCCGTCTTGTCAGGATCATACCATCCCCGATGCCAGCACCAATAATGAAATTGCTTGGACCAGCACCAATAATTGAAGCTGTGTTAATTAAATCATGCACAGAAAGTCACAGTCAAGTGTCATACCAGGTCATACCTCAAAAATCGGCTCATTCTAATTCATGTGTTCATTGTATATAATCATCATACATGGGTTACCCATCAATAGTGCCATCATTTCCATTGCAATTCTGAGCATTATTATTACTACGTAGTGTAAAATTGTTATCATTATTAGACTTATGTAGACATGACAAAACACTTCATCATTGCTTAGATACTGTTAATCATTACATATATCTACTGATTGCATACCTTTCAAATTGGCAATACCCATATTATTATGGTTAGCATTACTGGTAATTGCTATCATTACTATATACCATTACATGTTAACATTGATGAGCAGTTGAAACCGTTTGTTTACTGTCTATGATGATGATTGGTACTTGCTGGAAGGATCTGTTCTATCTACCCTCCGGTAAACTATCATAACCATGGAAAATCACCATTTCTTAATGGGTAAATCCACTACAGAGGGGCAATTTTCAATGGTTTTTTGTATGTTTACCAGGCCGGGTATAACACTTCACGAACCTCAAAGATTCGGCAAAAAGCTATTGAACATGGCCATAGAAATCGTGGATTTACCCATGAAAAATGGTGATGTTCCATTATATTGTTAGATCCAATAAAATCTTTCCACCAAAAAATCCCCATCAATTTACCCTCCGGTAAACGTTTACGGAACTATGGAAAATCACCACGTTTAATGGGAAAATCCACTATTTCCATGGCCATTTTCAATAGTTTTTTGTATGTTTACCAGGCCGGGTGGTTCCGTGTCGCACAACGCCCGTGGTTCCGTGGGTAAATCATCATGATCGATGGGATGGTCCCATCTTCCATTCTACCAGTTTTTGTTTAAAAAAATATACCACCATTGTTGCTTTTAGTTATAGTATATAGTTTCCACTAAAAAAACACTATCTCCCAAAAAGCCTATATATATACCCCATGATATTAACAATGATTGTTAGAGGCATTGTTAGTTATATTCCCATTAATATCCCATTATTCATGCCAATCATTAGATTAGGATATGGGGATTTCTTAAATTTGGGGATCTCCAAAACCATGGCTTTCAATATGTTTCAATTTCAATACTAAAATGGTCTATGGATGATTTCCGGGTACCCCCATAGCTTAGGAAACCTCTATCCATAAAGATACCAACAAAATCCATATTCCATTACACAATTATATATTGCACACCATTATATTGTTGGTTAGATCCAATAAAATCTTCCCACAAAATGTTCCCCATCAATTTACCCTCTGGTAAACTAACGTAACTATGGAAAAACACCATGTTTCATGGGAAAATCAACTATTTCGACTGGGCCATTTTCAATAATTATGTTAGTCTACCAGAGGGTATCAAAATCCCACTATAAATGCTAAATATATCCCAATGATATGCTCCAAAATCCCACAACAAATCCATCAATTTACACCAATGTTTGGTGTTTTCCCCAACAATTTACACCCAAAATCCGCTCCGAAATCCCGTGGGTAAACCGTGGACACCGCCTCCAGGAGCTCCAAGGCTATGGTCCACTGCGCCTCACAGGTGCTCAGCAGCGCGCCCAACGTCACGACGCTGACGACGGCAAGCGGACTGTACGGTTGGTGCGGTTGGTGCGGTGCAGTGACCGCACCGGTAAAAGATGGCCATAGATGGCCATAGATAGCTATTGAAGCCATGGCCATGATAATTTTTCATGAAAACCTGTAGCTATATATGAAGTTATCATGGCTTTCCATAGTTACATAAACGTTGACCAGAGGGTAATGGTTATAACTACAGGATTCTGACCTGGACAAGAGTCATAATATTAATTCCTACAGCCTACAAGCCACAAAAATGGGAACTGCAGACCCAAGTAGTTCACTTGGAAAAGCAGTTGAGGCTATAACCCTGGTGAAACAAAAAAACGCCATAAGTTGAAAAAAATCACCCAACTTAACTATGGTGAAACACCATATCCCATTATAACTGGAGCTGCACTTCCTATGAGAAAATACACCCAATCCATCCCACACCCAACTGGATTAAACATGGAGATTTCGATGAAACCAAAGCAATAGGATTCGATGAGATGTTCCCGATCTGTTGGCTGGGTTACCACCAGAATCCCAATGTTACGGACAAATAGGAATACAGTGGCTTAAACATATCTGGTTGGTGGTATACCTACCCCTCTGAAAAATATGTGTTCGTCAGTTGGGATGATGACATTCCCAATATATGGAAAATGAAATATTGTCCAAACCACGAACCAGATATGATGTGAGGTGCGAGACTTAACCTATCTTAGCCAAATTTTTGACCCTGGCACTTTTTTGGCTATTTTAGCATATTTTGAGCCAACCAACACTATCCCATCAATCCAGTGATGTTCAGTGATTTTCATTGCTATTTTTTGATCTTCATTGATTTTCATTGCTGGCTACATATAAATATCACCTATCATTATGTATCCTCTGATCATTATGTATCCTCTGGTTTTATATCATATACTAATGATCAAAGGATAGGAAACGAGAGGATACTACTATATAATACAACCAGAGGATCATCTGGTTATATAATCATATACATATCATATACTAATGATGAGGATCCTCTGGTTCATTCTACTACTCATAATCATCATTGTTTCACATAATCATATACTACTAATGAACCATACTACTAATGATATCATTGTTCATATACTAATGATACTCACCCGTTCATTGTTCCCATGGGATCGCACCTCATCTCCTCGAAGAGCTGCAAGGCCATCTGCCACTTCTGCGAACTGATTACCTCGCCGTTCCATGGTCCCCAATAGAAATGGCTGGATGGTAGAAATAGATGGTTTATTTCCATGGAAAATCCGATCTAGATATGGAGGAGAACTTGGGGTAGCCTCATTTTAGGACACCTCCAGTTGACTATTAGTGTTTGGAATGTATACTCCATGTGACTAGGTGGTGGTATTTGGATGTGACTTTCATATCCCAAAAGTTGGAAGAATTTCACGGAATTTCCATCTTCAAACCATCAATTTCACATGAAAGAATGGGATTTGTACCTGGGAAATCAGATTATAATGTGAGGATGGACTATTAGAACCTGATTTTAAGTCTGCGAAGGTTGGTGTGTTATGCTTGATATTTCAAAGACATGGGAAATATACATGGCGAATGAATTAACTGGATGCTAAACAGTACATGATGTTCCATCAATAGCAATTTTAGTCAAAATAAAACAACATAACTACTGTTCACATGATGTTCAATCCGAATCTTGTTAGATGATTTACCAACGGCTAACCGCTGAAAATGGATGATGGAATAGTTACTTTGCCTTATCAACTATAGCTTGTTTATGACCCCATCATACCCCAAACGAGGCAGTTCCAATATATCAAGCGTTGGTTGTTTGGTTTCCATCACTCCATCAACTGCAGTAGTTCACTCGGCAAAGATGTCCACACCTATCCAGGAACTACAGTACACCGAGTGACAGCGTTGTAGCTGATGGTATCTGGTGAGAGACGGGAGCCTTCGAGATGCTGAAAGAAATGAAGCGCCAGCTGCCATTGCAGACCTCCAGCACCCATGAAATTAGACTCTGGAGAATCCATTAGGATCCCAAATATCATGGGAAGTAAAGGTTAGGATCCCAAATACATCCCAGTTGTAAGTTCTGGAATTCAAACCCAATTTGCGAGCATCCTCCTACCAGAGTCATGGCACACAAATCATGGCAACATCGACTACCGCTGGATTTGCCCGGCCAATCCCAAGGAAACATGTTCTTTTTTGGGGGCAGCTGTCAGTGTTACTCTCTTAGTCTTCTTTGAAGCGAACTTAACTAACCACCTCTCAATGGATCAACAAGCAGTGCCCAGTTCACTTTACCTACCCTCTGGTAAACATACAAAAAGATATTGAAAATTACCATAGAAAATAGTGGATTTTACCTTGAACAATTGTGGATCTTTCCAGTTCGTTATGTTAGTCATTACCAGAGGGTATCTCAATTCTCGACAAATCGAAATCCGGGAGTTTAGAGTGAAAAACCTTGACATACTGATGGTTCAGAAATCCTGCAGTTGATAGCTGGTGAAACTCCAATTACTATCCCATCATATCCATCATTTACAGGTTTTGATATGATTACTTTTACTATCCATCATTTACTGGTTACCTTTTCGGCACTAGCTGGTGCAGGATTTCTCAACCATCCACTGTATTCATGGGACATAATCATGGAATATCAGCTAGGAAGATTCATGGGATATTGTTCACCATTGTTAACCATCATATATTTATTGATTTATTGTATTTTATTGTTCACCATCATATGGTTAACTATTGAACAACAAACATTGGAAGATTCATGGGGTTCATCAGAGATTTCTCCCTTGACATCCCTTGACCCAGCTACCCTTGCCACATGCACTGATTGCACTGTTGTAGCTGATGAGGTTCGCTGAAGCACCGCCCTCATCCGCGCAGGTCATGGAATCCATGGGTTTGGGGGTCAGTTTTCAGAACGTTTCATATTTATCACCGTCCAAAAGTGAAGAACTTATCCATTTCCCAAAGCAATTCTTGACCCAATAGCTGAATATGTCTAAGTTCATCAAATCTATAGATATTGTTCACCATCGCCACAAAACAGGCAAAACAGTGACCCTTGTTTAAGGCTATTTGGGGCCACAACAAACACTACCAGAACCCAAATGGGATGAGTCAGTCCTGCAGCAGCTTCCAAGTGTGCAAGGCCAATTGCCACTGGGAGGATTTCTCGCAACCTGGCCATTCGCTATATGCAAGGGACCATCTACAGCTGGTCGTTGGGTGTCCTGCCAGTTTCCCCTAACTAATGGCAAACATCATGTGAATACACAAGAAATTTTGGTGCGTCTGTGGGGCAGCTGCATCAGTGGGTAGGGGGATTGTAGATAGGGTACCACTTCAAAAAACGACCGACATGGTAAATGTCACCAACCGAAAAAGGGTACTGCTATGTTTTGATAAACAACCAAACAGGATGTAAGAGGTAAATCACATAGGGATACCATGGAAATATGATCCTCTAATCTAAGACTTGTAACTCATGTCGATTCAATCCGCCAAATAATGCAATGTTGCGTTAGTGAACATCACCATAAATCATCAAAAGTCATCATAAAACATCATAAACCCTCCTAAATCATCCTATAGATCACATTAGTTAACATCATAAATCATCAAACATCACCATAAAACATCATAAAACATCATGTCATCATTCATAAGCACACCACTTTTGCTAGGCCTTGGTTTCCATCCCCTTTTTAAACTGGTCCCAGGAACAACTCAGCACGGCGCTATACGTCACCACATCAGCTCTCATCGCGGGCATCGCATGCGTCGCATGCAGGATCCAACAGGCCCTTTCCCACTGCCTCGACGTCCGTCGCGGTGTGTGATGTTCGTGGCCCCGAAAGAAAACCACGTTTTGGTACAGGGGAAATAGGGATAGACGGATAGATTAAGATTATGATTAATGATTATTAAGCTTGATTTCCAGTACGTGGACGTATACGAAATCATCTGTTTGAAACCTGGTGGTTCCCATATCCACCATATCTGTATCAATGATATCGCTAGTGCCATGACAACAATCTCCCGACTGGCTGCTCCCGACTGGCTACTTCCCCATGACCCCTCAGGTTTTGTCAAGAAACGTTCCCATTCAGGATGCAAACATGACCACACTAATGTACTCTCTGGCACCAAGTCCGTTCACTTGCTTGGTCAAAAGTTTTGAGTTATACGTACAGTTATACTCGAAGTTTTGGTAAGTTGGAAAAATTATTGTTCATCTCAAAGGTTTCGATTAGTGCCCAAAAATCACAATCACAAGGGCGTCCCTTTGATATTGAACATCCCATTTGTATGGTCCCCAAAAAAGTGGTTTCGTCCGCTACTAGGAAACCACAGTTTTTGGCTGGCTGTGTTTCATAGTAGGGGGATGGGATTATACTGATGAAACCTATGGTATCTCTAAGAAGTTAATACCACCACCGTTAAGATATGTTAAGATGTTGTCCCCATGTTCTACCAGCGTTTTGGTCGCAGAAACCATGCGACTTGTTTAAGGTTTCATCCCATGGCCATGGGATCCCATGGGCCCATGGGCCAAGCCACAGGCCGGTCTCGCAACAACTAATCAGGGAATTGTAACTGATGAGATTCCTGGGCCAAATCGGCAAATCGGATGCGAAATTTGGACCGTGGAAAAAAACAGTCTTTTTGTAATATAGCCTCTGGTAAACTAACTTGTTGACCCTGAAAATGACCAATTTATAATGGAAACTAGTCTTCCAAACCCTATCTGCCAGGGTCTATGTTAATTTACCAGAGGGTAAGTCTTTTATTTCTAGTTTAATATACGATTGGGTTTTATTTCTCAAGGGCTGCTCACATGGTGGCATCCGAAGTCACTGTGTAAATTCTAGATGATGTTTTTTTATATGTTTTTAATATCGGCATGGGGAGAATTCGGTGAGGTAGGAGAAACAGTCAGCCATGGGTACATGTTGGGCCTTGATTCATCCCAGTGTTGATCATTGACTCTTGTGCAGTAAGGTGGAGAACTCAAACGGACCTCTTGAAGATACGACCGCCCTTTTTCAGACAGGAACCACATAGTAAATCATGTTTCATTTACTGTGAGTTTTGGAAACAAACCGGTGTGAGTCTCTGACTCTACTTACAGTACGGCCATGTCCTGTATCAACATATCAAACAACTCTTCACGATACAATATTCATGGCGAGTACAGAAATCCTCAAACAAATATAAAACAAAATCCAGGATGTTGAAGATGACGAATCCCAGTAGATTTCAGATTTCCATTTCCACTTAAATTTGGTGGACGTGTCATCCATTCTCATCCGCGAACCGGGTTTCAACGCCAAAAATACTAGTCAATACAGATCCTCCCCACCGAATTGAGCATTGCAAACTATTTCAAACCACCAGTTCTACTAGTCTACACTCACACTTGTCAAGCGAAAATTATCGTTGATATCACCATATCCCAAAAAAACATATCCGCAACTATATCCCATGATATTCCAACCGATTTCGCCACATCTCAACAATCAAAAAAATTGTATCCCAACATCATGTCCCAAAATTTCCAACAATATTCTAGTTATCCCCAAATTCTAGTTGTCTTTATAACATATTAATTTACCATATATTGCCACTATCCCCACCATCCCCCACCAAGGGCACCAAGGGGCGGCTCGGTTCGCGCCCGAAGCATGGCATCGAAGATCTCCAGCGCCAACGGCCACAGGTTGGCCACGCGGCAAAGGTTGATGGAAGCCTTGGGAAGTCAAGGTCATTTTAACAACAATGGAAATATATGGTAAACATATATGTATCATAAACATTGATAATAATGGTAATATATGGCAATCATCTTACCTTATCATTATAATAAATGGAAAGATATGGTACAATGTGAGGCCCCCCAGTGATGTTAGTTGGTTAACAAAAGCCCCAGTAACTATAGTTATTTGCGTACCATACACTAATGGTAATGATGGTAATATATGGCAATAATCTTATCTTATCAATATAAATGGTAATGTATGGTTATAGTGATAATCATGGTAATATATGGCAATCATCTTATCTTATCATTAAAATAAATGGTGATAGATGGTTATAGTGAAACTAATGGTAATATATGGCAATCATCTTATCTTATCAATATAAATGGCAATGTATGGTTATAAGTTATAATGATAATAATGGTAATATATGGCAATCATCTTATCTTATCAATATAAATGGTAATGTATGGTTATAAGTTATAATGATGATAATGGTAATATTGGCAATCATCTTATCTTATCATTGTAATAAATGGAAATATATGGTTATAATGATAATCATGGTAATATATGGTAATCATCTTATCTTATCATTATAATAAATGGTAATATATGGTTATAATGATAATATTGGTAATATATGGCAATCATCTTATCTTATCATTATAATAAATGGTAATATATGGTTATAATGATAATCATGGTAATATATGGCAATCATCTTATCTTATCAATATAAATGGTAATCTATGGTTATACTGAAAATAATGGTAATATATGGTAAACATATTATATTATCATTATAGTAAATGGTAATCTATGTCTTATCTTATCATTATAATCAATGGTAAGATATGGTTATAATGAAAATAGTGGTAATATATGGCAATAATCTTATCTTATCTTATCAATATAAATGGTAATCTATGGTTATACTGAAAATAATGGTAATATATGGTAAACAGATTATATTATCATTATAATAAATGGTAATATATGTCTTATCTTATCATTATAATCAATGGTAAGATATGGTTATAATGAAAATAGTGGTAATATATGATAATAATCTTATCTTATCATTATAATCAATGGTAGTAATATATATATATAAAGGTGATAATAATGGTAATATGGTGTAATAATCTAATAATGATAATAATGGTAATAATGGTTCTTATTGTAATATCATTTGCTTGAAATAATTGTAATAATCTTATCTTATCATTATTGACACCAAGGCTAGTTTTTGTTGTCAGTCAAGGGTGATGTTTTTTAGTGTAATATCATTTGTTTTTACAGTAATGGTAATCATCTACTCTTATAATGATAATCGTAAAAATGATAACAATGAAAACAATAATATGATAATAATGAGAACATTATCATGATAAGTAGCAATAATTCACACTGTAACCAATGGGAATGCGCATTTATGACACATTATGAACCAATGGAAATTCACATGACGAAGATCATGAACCAATGGGAATGCATATAATTTAATAATTTGTCAATGGGAATGACAATTGTCTGCAATGTATCAATTTACCATTGAATTCCATTGATAATCCCATTTGATAATCCCATTAAGAATTACATGATAATTGTCCTACAGGACAGTTGTCTGTAATCCCATTGAATTCCATGGATAATTAGCTGTATCATGGATAATCATGGGACATGGCATGATTTTCATGGGATTTAATGGACATTCCACAGCAACACCTGGGAATCGATGGGAAGCATGTGGGATTCACCCAGCAATTGAAGATTTCAGTCCTTTTATATTGCTCAAATAGGGTAACCTTGAATAAGCCCCAATGATGAGAACATAGTGTGATACTGGAGACATCTTGAATGGAAAAACTATAAGAAGACTTAATGCTGGAAGAACTACACTACTTGATGGAGTAAACATCAGTATTCCTTCAACTATTGATGGAAACAAAGGGGGATAGGTAATGAATCTTTTTGGGATATAATTATTGTAATATAATACAATATAATATTATTAAACAAAAACATATAATACGAACAAAAAACTAATATAATATGATATGACACAATATTATATAACACAAAATAATACAATATAATATAATATAATATAATATGATTTAATACAACAGTATAATATAATACAATATAATATGACATAATATAATATGAAAATATACAATATAATATAACATGAAAAAAATAAAACATATATATATATATATATAATACAATGATAAAACATAGAAAGAAAATAAATTGTAATTAAAAATATAGTATAACAAAATAAAATATTATGATAAAACACAATACATATATATATATAATAATTAATATAATATAAACTACTATATGTATATATATATAGATAACATGTTGTATTCTATTATCATCTATTATACATACTTACACATAGCTGTGTCATTATCCATGAGCCCAGCTGCACTGCAACTCACCACATCCTGTGCGATGCCGCTGTCCTGCTGTTCACCCAGTATCGCTCAATGTCTGAAAAAACACCCTGGAAAACTATAGATGGCCATACATGGCTATAGAACATCACCACTTTTATCCACTTTTTATAGCTAAGTCATCTATAAATAAACCATTTTCCATATAGCTTACTGGAGGCTAATGCGTAAAGAAACAGGTTTAATGGTGAACTAACAATTTCTTGAGTTTCCTGTTTCAATTCCCAAAGGAAACTCTCCAAAATCATTTCTCCAAAAATCTTCAGACAGTTTTCGGTTTTCCCAAATACCCTCTGGTAATTTGTTACATAGCTATTGAAAATTGCCATTTAGTTTGTTGATATACCCATTAAACTTGGTATTTTTCCATAGTTATGTAAACGTTTACCCGAGGGTAACCGTCAGCAACTCTCAGATCGGAATCGCTATCTCCCACCATTCCACCATATGACGATATGGGAATTCCCGTGTTATCACAAATTCAAATCATATATATATATATTATAAATATTATATGTATATAATAATAATTAGTTTATCATATTAATTTATATTAATGTATATATATATATACCCGTTGTATCCCCATTGTACCCCATGGCTTCGCTCCTGCAATCGCTGGAAGTTCTGTAGGGCCATCGGCCAGTGATCCGCAGTGCCATCGGTCATGTCGGTCATGTCGGTCATGGTGAAGGTTGCGGTGTGGCCTCAGGCTGTGGTGGGATACATACCCGGCCTGGTAAACACACAAAAAGCGAACTGGAACATGGCCATTTCATAGGTGATTTACGTTGGTTTACCCAGCTATAATAGCTGGTGAATGGGTCCATGGCTATGTTAAATCACCAGAGAGTATTAACTGAGATGTTTCATATGGGAATATAATGAACTATGATGATTGAATGGTAATATGTAATAACATGGAATGAGGCCACATGTAACAATGGTAATGTGATTACTGGGATGTACTATGGGATGTGATGTGTAATGTAATTGAAACAACATGTAATAACATGTAATAACATGGAAATGGTACTGGAATGTTTTGTGTTTTTTTAATGATGATACATGATGATACTATATAATTAACTGGAATGTAATGAACTATATATTATGATATGATTTAACACCATGAAAAACGTGTATTTGGGGAACATTCAGTGGATATTACCATGATGAAACTTATATGGGATATTATTTAGAAATAATATACCAACAATATTGGCATGATGTAATATAGGATGTTTGTAATGGGGATGTAACATTGCATGGATATTAATAGGATGAAAACTCATATCCCGTTCATATCCCATTCATATCCCATACAGCAATACATCATGTATTAGTGATATGATTGACATCCAATATTTGTGGTTATATTAATGAGGATGCAACATGGAATATTAAAAACCAACAACATGATTATCTGAGGGTGTCCAGCAATGGCGTATTGCCAAAGGGGGATAGTGAGGTTTAAATATCCATAGAATTTTGTGGTATCGAGTTTTCAGACAAACTCATAGTTACAAATCTGGAAAAAGAACATGGTTTCTTTCAAAGTAAGGTCTGTAAAGCCCTGAGAGTTTGTACAGACTTCCGATCTCCGCTGCTTCTTGTTTGAAGCCTCAACAAGCTACACGAGTTGCTTCGTTGCGCAACGAGCCGCCGGACCATCGCCATGCCCGTAATTTTTGCCAGGAAACTCACCGCATCGGGCACTAGGCCTTGCCTTGGAACGCACCGTGATGTAACGTGCTGCTTGGAGATTTCTTTTGTGCAAGGTTGGCATCCACATAGCCTATGGTTATTTAACATAGCTACGGATAATGGTCCAACATACCAACACAATCCACTCCAATATAGAACAGCAATGGCTGATGCCGCCTTCCAATCTTCCCAGAGCTCAATCGGATGGAAATGCTATCCGTGGTTCCCTTGGCTCGTAGCTACAATGATGCTCTTAGCTAGAATGTGGGCCCCCCAGTTATGTGTGTTGCTAGAAATAACCCACCTGAATACATAGTTATAAAAGTACCGAATAAACCATAGTTATCTATTAGATAAACCAACTTAGCTATCTAATTATCTTGGGGGTTCCACTTTTGTAGGACCAGGTGATAGATTTAAGTACTTTCACCAGGCTGACCGGAGGCACCTTCTTGTCCTTGTCAATCTTTGGTGGGTCAGATCCAAGTTTTGGCTGTCTGTTTTTTTTTTCGAATTTCTGCAAAAAAGGTAGGATCCAAACAAATGATTCATGTAGAGCCAAAATTCTTGATGTTTTTCGGGATGTTCAGGCTATCTCACTTCCTCAATGGCCATTTCAAAAATATATCCCCCCAAAATATGGTCAAAAATATGGTACAATGTGAGGCCCCCAAGATAGCTAAGTTGGTGCCAATAACTCCAATTTCACTATGGTATATGGTACTTATAACTATAGTATTCCTGGGGCGAATCTAAACCAACATTCACATCACTGGGGGGCCTCACATTGTCCTAACAGTACCTCCATAAATTGGATCCTGGATTTCCCACCGCTGGCGACAAACTTTGCCATGCTGCCAACGCAGTTCTTCGAAGATCTGCATGGATGCAGGCCATCCTAGGCGGAGCTACAACTGGTGCTTGAGCCCTACCAAGCAGTGGTTAATATACTGTTAATGATGATGGTTAATAATGTTAGCTCCTGATTAGTAGCTAGGGTCGCTATTGTGGCAATTTTTCCAAATTATTCTGAAACTCATGTAGTGTTTGGAGGGTTCGCTTTTGTGGCAAAACAAAACTGGGAGAGCCCTTTTTTTGAGAAAAAAACTGTAATATCTGAGAGGCCATTTTTTTCTCAAAAACGCTGTAGCTCAGTCAAGTTTTTGCCCATCTCTCTATCTGAGCCTGTAAATGCATCTCTATCTGAGTAGGTTTGTTTGCTGGGTTCACTATTGCAGCAAGCTGTGCCAGAGCAGCCCCTGGAAGCCCAGAAGAGAAGCAAGCCTTTTCCAAAATTGCCAAATTCAAACTGCAAGCCTTTCCCAAAAGAACCAATCCCTTATTAAACCCTTATTAAAGAACAGCTTTTCCACAATTTTCCAAGGCCCTGGACCAGGAGAGGCCCATTTCACTTTAGTAGGTTTGTTTGCTGGGTTCACTATTGCAGCAAGCTGTGCCAGAGCAGCCCCTGGAAGCCCAGAAGGGAAGCAAGCCTTTTCCAAAATTGCCAAATTCAAACCCAAGCCTTTCCCAAAAGAACCAATCCCTTATTAAACCCTTATTAAAGAACAGCTTTTCCACAATTTTCCAAGGCCCTGGACCAGGAGAGGCGCCATTTCACTTTAGTAGGTTTGTTTGCTGGGTTCACTATTGCAGCAAGCTGTGCCAGAGCAGCCCCTGGAAGCCCAGAAGAGAAGCAAGCCTTTTCCAAAGGCAATTGCCAAATTCAAACCCCAAGCCTTTCCCAAAGGAGCCAATCCCTTATTAAACCCTTATTAAAGAACAGCTTTTCCACAATTTCCCAAGGCCCTGGACCAGGAGAGGCTCCATTTCACTTTAGTAGGTTTGTTTGCCGGGTTCACTATTGCAGCAAGCTGTGCCAGAGCTACAAGTACTACAAGTACTACAAGTACTACAAATACTACAAGTACTACAAGTACTACAAGTACTACAAGTACTACAAGGACTACAAGGACTACAGGTACTACAAGAACTACAAGTACTACAAGTACTACAAGCACTACAAGCACTACAAGTACTACAAGTACTACAAGTACTACAAGTACTACAAGTACTACAAGTACTACAAGTACTACAAGTACTACAACTTCATCGGCAAAAAAAACAATAGTAATTAGATTTCAATTGTAGCCAATTGAAATCCTTACTTAATTGAGGATATGTTTTTCTTTTGGGAAGAACATTTTTGACTTTCTACTTTAAAGAGAGTCCAGATATAGTTTAGGGGAGGGAGGGGGGGAGGGGGGGGGGCCACACACTAATCAGGAACCAGCATTAGATGCTTGTTATATGGTTCATGATGGTTTTCATAGTATTCTGGTTGGTGGTATACACCCAACATATGTTCTATAAAATATAGTGTCTATAGTGCCATAGAAATCGTGGATTTACCCATTAATAGCATGGTGATATTTTTCATCGTTATGTAAACGTTTACAAGAAGATATCTACAAAGCTAAAGAACTACTGGTTGGTGGTATACCTACCCGTCTGAAAAATATGAAAGTCAGTTGGGATGATGACATTCCCAATATATCGAAAAATAAAAAATGTTCCAAACCACCAACCAGATAAAATATAGTGTCTATAGAAAGTTGTGATTCATCTCCAGCAACCTATAAATAAACCTATAAAATATAGTGTCTATAAAATATAGTTTCTATAGGAAGTTCTGTTTTTTTCTATCCCCAACCAAGTTAAACCTGAACTAATCCCTTCCTCCTAATACTAAACCCCCCCCCTCCCCCTAATACAAAACACGGCAGGTAGTTTTTAGTATTAGGGGGGTATTTATTATTAGGGAACCAAATCGAAGTCATGTTAATTAGTTATTCATGCATTAGAATGGAGGAAGGGATTATTCATTTTATACAGATTTCTAAGTAATTCTAATTAATTAATTAGATGCATAATTATGTATATAATTATAAGTGTATATATATAATCAATTCATTCGTGTATAATTATACTAAAAAGCTTACCCCTAATACTAAATTAAAACCCTTAATACTAAAAACTATTTTTTCCGATCTCAAAATCAATTAAATTTCCTTATATAACGCAATTAAAATATTGCCAAAAATGGCAGTTCGAAGCTTACCCCTAATACTAAATTAAAAACCTTAATACTAAAAACTATTTTTTCCGATCTCAAAATCAATTAAATTTCCTTATATAACGCAATTAAAATATTGCCAAAAATGGCAGTTCGAAGCTTACCCCTAATTGCTAGAGTAGCCAGGCAGCTTGGAGTGAGGGATTGATTGGGACTAGGCCCCCCTAATACTAAACACCCCGGGGTGAACTAGTTTTTAGTATTAGGGGGGAGAACCCACAAATGGTAGGTTGATTTTTAAATTGTTTTTTAAAGGGGATCAATTAAAAGTCAAATTGGCCAAACTGAAATTTTCGGAAATTGGAGATGGATGCCTGTTTTTAGTATTAGGGGGACGTTTAGTATTAGGAGGAAGGGATTACCCAGTTGTGTTTTCTGTATTTACCCCATTAGAACAGGCATTTTTTTGGCCGCCCATTTACCCAGTCAACGCCAACAAGCATCTGGATTTGGAGTTCATGAGGCTGTTGAACGTGACCACCTCAGTGTCAGGTAGAAGGCCATGGCTTAAATCAAAATCCCATGGCGCGATTTTTGTAACTATACATAGTTGAATACATAGTTATATATACGTATATATATATACTCTTATAGTTATAGACTAGACTAGATATCAGTTCTACAAACAGTCACAACAAGCCATATTCTTATGTATGATATATGACTTATGACTCTATCTACATATTCTACATCCTATGAAACTATTATATATACCCTCTGGGTATTTAACATAGCCATGGCATAGATGGCCCATAGAAATAGATGGTTTACCTGGGTTTACCTATTAAACATGGTGGATCTTTCCATGGCGAACTGTTAGTCATAACCAGATGGTACCAGATGAAACTATTATATATATATTATATGATATATATATAATATGATATATATATATATATTATATATATTATATATATTATATATATTATATATATATATATTATATCAACTAACAGAATATGCAGGAAGCTGAAGGTCGGTCGCCAGCCACGGCACATCGCCGTAGGGTCTCAATGCTCCGAGTCCAAGGAGGCACGCCAGCTGCCTCGAGTCGATCAACATATCACGGTGAAGATATGTGACATCTGGGCTGTACAAATCATATTAGTAAAATCTTGGTGATATTATGATAGTTGTATGGTAGAACAAAAACATCAAACGCATATAATATGTACATATGTATATTCTATATATATATAAATGTGATTACATGTTATATATTTACTTGAATCTGAGCAATGTTGCACAAAGCTGAGTCGATGTTGCGCATGATTCCTCGCATCCCAACCATGATGGTAAAGGCAACCATTGAGAATGTTGCAACTTGCCAAGTACCCTCTGGTAAGTTAACATAGCTATGGAAAATCCATTATAAATGGAGGTTTTATTGGGAAAATCATCTGTAAATGGTCCATTTTCCATAGCTATGTTAAATTACCAGAGGGTAGATTATCCAATCATCCTGTCGCCGTGAAATTTCACCAAGATGAAGGGCATGAACGTCTGCCATCTCACTGACTCCGTAGAACTCATGTGAAATGGTCAATTTTTATATTGTCTGATGTCCATCTTCCAGTTGTTCGCCAACCGGTCAACCATCAATCATGGGTCAATGGGAGATATCCAAAAGATATCCCCGGCCATTCAAATGGTGAATTTTGGACAATGATCCATGGTTAATATATGGTTAATATATGGTTAATAAATGGTTGATATATGGTTGATATATGGTTAATATATGGTTGATATATGGTTAATATATGGTTAATATATGGTTGATATATGGTTGATATATGGTTAATATATGGTTAATATATGGTTGATATATGGTTAATATATGGTATTCAAATGGTGATTCTGGATGATTTTGGGGTACCTTTTCCCCATCTTCAGACCCCTCTGATGGCGAGACCACCCAACATCGACCAATTCGTGGGTGAAATCCACCTGCACAAGTCGAATAATGTTTTGAGGACTGAACCAGTTGTTAAAACTCCAAATATTTGGATGTCAGTTGTCATCATTTTCCAAGGATTCCATTGGTTATGCGTCAATCATCATCTAACATCCACATGTTTGGATGCTTCAAGCACCCTAAATGCACCATTATTCATGATATTCTACATCATTCACCCATGTCAACCCACGGTTAACCCGTGGTTTTCCCGGTTTTCCCCGAAATCTGCGAACGCAGTTACCCCCCAGCCGATCGCGATGCGATGTCGCCCAGCTTCCATTGGGATCTCCTCGAGGCTACGGCCAGGCAGGAATTCAACGCCATCAACGCCACTTGGAGCGCTTCGTTGCTCCTGCCATCGGTGTCGCGGCATCGGCGGCATCGGGGTCCGGAGAGAGATTCACCGTGAAATGGTTGTGAAAAATGAAGGTTAAAACCATATTACCATATTTTTTAATGGACTAACATGAATGGTCTGTTGATGACTAGATCCATAAATTCACGAATTCTTCATAGATCCAAAGGGTTGTTAATGATGTTAATGTATCAAACATGGATCTATGAATAGATTGCTAGATAAGATAGATGGAATGGATAGGTGGGGATTAACCGATTGGGTCAACGAACAAACAGATGTGGAACAATGCGAATATGAACATGATCGATCATGATCGATCCATTTTTCGATGCTGATTGTTTTCCACTAATCTTCGCAATTTCAGGAGGTTAACCATATATCATCTGGTTGGTGGTTTCAACCCTAGCCCTCTGAAAAATGATGGAGTGTTCGTCAGTTGGGATGATTTTCCATTCCCAAGTGTTTAACTGGAAAGTCATGTTTTCCATTCCATGGTTCCAGTCAGCACCAATCAGATATAATTAACCATCATTAACCATCATTAAACCATCATTAAACCATCATTAACCATTGATTAACCATTGATTAACCATTGATTAACAATTGATGGTTTGGGGATGTTGCCATGGATTTTCACCCCATCAGCGTCCCGGATGAGTCGCCGTGAAAGGTGGCTGGTGTGATGGCATGATGGCCGATGGCTTAAGTTAGCCATGGAAACTCAAAGAATACTGATATGTTTGCTCCATAAAGAAGCTACTCGCCATGGAAGTGAACCATGACCCCATTTCTAGATAAGTTTCTGTTGAACATGGCGGGTCTCGAAGTCTCAACTACGGCCAGCCTGATAAGAACCAACGACAAGTGACATGTTGGTAGGATATGATAGCCAGGATATGATACAGCTCTATATTATACAGTAAGTGGAAAACAAATCAACTATTGACATTATTGACCGACATTTGCACGCTAACAGCTACATACCATTTCACGATTCGTTACATCCTGGCCACTTGCACCAACTCATCGCATGTCCAAGGATCATCATGTCTAAGAGCTGCAAGGACCTACGGCGATGCGACTGGGCACCTTTTTGTCTTCAGCTGAGTAAATATCACACCAGTGAGCCTCTGAACCAAGTGAACAAAATGAAACAACATTGCCAAACAAAGAAATAACATGTTGTGGTTTATGTCGGCAGAAGACGTTGCAAGTTTCAAGATTTCAACTACATGTGCTTCTGGGACATTTGAAGAAACAAACCATCCTCTCTTTCTTTGGTCCTTTGCAGATTTGTAAGGTTTTGAAGTGCCACTTCCGCGCGACTTTCCCGACAAATTCAAAGTTCATGTTAGAGGTGTTCCCCCACAAGACTATTTGCAACCAGGGGTTCATGTAATATACATTTAAATTTGTATATCCCGATCCATCCGTACCTGGAGTCCTGGAGTATGACATGACTGGAGCATGATTTGGGCGGATGAGTCCCTTCTCAGCTCGGCTGGGAAAAAACAAAAAGCAAAACACCGTCACGAGAGGATTTTTTCCATTACCTGCTCCCCAATATGATTAGTTTATGTTGGTTTTATAGCAAAAAAAAACTATGATCTATGCCCAATTCAACCATTGTACACCATTGAACCTTCAATGTTGGTTTTTCAACTGATGGTCAACCCACCATTTCTTTGTCAACCAATCAACATTGATTGGTGGAAGTTGGGAAAATCTTCACCGGAAACCAGAGTGATGTTCCCATGAAGAA